AAATATGAAAATATCGGTATATCGTATCATTTAATGTGATGATACAGTATTGATATCGTGGGCTGCTGTATCGATATATCACCAACAGTATTTTTTGGTATATTTTACAAAATTTTACTGAATTATTTGGTTACAGAGCTACAGTTTTGTTGCGTGTTTAGAGGAAGGAAACTCATTTATGTGACACATTTGACATTTTCACTGTTTTGATGAGTAAAATGTTTGAACTTTGCACAAGAAGTGGTTTAACAAAGACTTTTAGTATCACAGCTATGATTTAGACTTTTTTATTTTCTACTGAATTGTATTGAATCGTTTTGAAATATATCAGGGTATCCCCAGGTTTGACTACCCAAAATGTAAGACTTTGTTAAGACTTTTTTAAGACTACTTAAATGAAAATTAACATCAACATTGCACCCATTATGCGAGTGAAAAACACCAGATCCAATTCTAATAATGACCATTACTCACTGCTTTAAATAAAAAATACATTTATAGTAGTATGCATTGCTTGTAAAATGGCCAAAAAAAATCATGTATAACATTTTAACAAGACAAACTAAGTACTGTTTGTGAATAAAATAAGACTCAGACAATATAATTAAAGACTTTTTAAAGCCTTAATTTAGGAACATGAAATTTAAGACCTTTTTAAGACTTTTAACACCTCGCGGCTACCCTGTATATCATATCGAATCGAAAGTGCACTGTATCGAGATATTTATCATATCGTGGCCTATGTATCGAAGTATATATCGTATCGGCAACTTCTTAATGATACCCAGCCCTAGTGGTGTGCGCTTTTTGTTGCAAATTTAAAAGTCATTTAAGACCAAAAAATCCTGTAGACCTTGAATCAACATCCCTTCACGAGCCAAATTAGACACCCCAGAGGGCCACGTCCTCACAAGTGACCACCTCAAACTTTTATTTTCATGGGGAAAAAGGGAGCCCGACCTGGAACGTAAAAATCTAAAGACTCAAAAGCACACACCATCATACTTAGCACATCTTCTTGCACTTCAAATCTGGCCAAAAGACTCTAAACCCACGTGCAATTAAAGATTATCAATAACGTTTTAAATATGACTTTGGGTGTGGACACTTGTGGTCATTTAAACTAGCCTCTCAAAGCTTTGCCAAATGATTAATTACCCAGGTGGTACTGCTAATGTTTTGGTGTTGGTCAAGACTCTTAACTTACACTGCAAATTTAACACAGGTGCAAGACTTAACACATGTTATTCATCTTACTTTCAGATTTATTATATACTTACTAGTTCTCAGTTGGATTCATTCTAGTCTAGAGGTAGATTATTTAAAGAGAACATGTCAAGAAGAATGATCTTGCTGCACGGACAGACTAAAGTAATGAAACAAGTGCAATCAGAGACAACAACCTGGTCCCCATGAAGCATCAGTGGGGGCAGTTCATCACCACAGAAGCAGCTTAGGAGGAGCCCAGCCCATACCCCGGTTATGTGTGTGCCAACTTGTGTGATGATTGGGTGAATATTTTAGGCCGCAGATGGTTCAGAAATTGCTGAAATTGCTGACCCTTTATAATGGCGTGACCTTTCAATTGACCCGTGTGACCTCAAATGACCTCGGATCGCCACCAAACTTTTTTTTTTGCGGCATCGGGCACGGGGGCTTGACCCACGTACCAAATTTGGTGACAATCGGTCCATAAATGGTGGAATTACTGTGGGTGGACAGACACACAGACACACATAGACACATAGACACATAGGGTGAATACAAAATCTGGTCAACCCTTCAGGGACCAGGTAATTAAGTAATTTTCTAGTAAATTTAAGTGTGTATATATATTTTGCAGTGTAAATGTGCCACAGTTTTTTTAAAAAAGTCATTAACAATATTGATTTCATTCATTTCAGTCTATTTGAGGGAGTTACTGCAGCCCTATACTCCGCCCAGAGCCCTGAGATCAGATGACCAGCTCCTGTTGGTTGTACCCAAAACTCGGCTCAAGACGAGAGGTGACAGAGCTTTTTCTGTGGCAGTGCCCAGATTGTGGAACATCCTTCCTCTTCCTGTCAGATCCTCTCAGTCTGTAACGCAGTTTAAGACTCGACTGAAAACTCACCTCTTCTCCCTGGCGTTTAGTACGAGCTCGTCAGGTTATCTTGGTGTTTTTATGGTAGTTTTCACATGTTTTCTGTATATATGTATTTGTAACTGTTTCTTCTATGTTGTTGAATTGTGTATGAAGCACTTTGGTCAGCTGAAGTTGTTTTAAATGTGCTATAGAAATAATTTAATTGAATGTAACAGATTACATGTACCGGAGTTACGTAATCAGAGTACAAATTATGAGTAACTGTATTCGGTTACAGTTACTGTTTAAGTGAGTGATAATTAGATTACAGTTACTTGGTTGAAATAAATGGATTACACAGAGGTATTTTCCTGTTTTCACATTTTGGGCTTTAACCCTTTTTTTTTTTTTTTTCAGTAATTCCACTCATTGCTGAACACTAAACCAGGTCTAAACCAGGTCTAAACCAGGTCTAAACCAGGTCTAAACCAGGTCTCTAAACCAGGTCTAAACTAGGACTAAACCAGGTCTAAACCAGGTCTAAACTAGGACTAAACCAGGTCTAAACCAGGTCTAAACTAGGACTAAACCAGGACTAAAACAGGACTAAAACAGGACGAAAACCAGGTCTAAACTATGTCTAAAACACTATTTAACAGGACTAAATCCTGCTGTGTGGACGTGTCTCCTCGTCTTCTATCAATAATATTTTTAATTTGGTTCAATAAAGTCTGGGATTTTTCTTTTCTTTTAGCAAACAAAATATCTCATGTGAAGATATCCTGGTCTTTGCTTCTCTACAGCAAATCAAGTAATCCAAAGTATTCAGATTACGTTACTCACTTGAAGTAATTTAATGGATTATGTTACAAACTTAATCTGTAATCTGTAGGGGAATACATTTTAAAAGTCACCTTCCCAACACTGGTTATGCAACTGTTCCAGGTGAAGGAACACTAGCGGCGTGTCAGCGTACATGTCAGATCTGCGTGTTTAGGACCACATGTAGAACTTCCCGTGTAACTCTCCCCCCGGTCAAAGCCTGTTTCGTGTCGTTCGTGTTGTAGAGAGAGCTCTGCCTGTGTTCTGTTCTCTGGGCACAGCTCCAGCCGCTCGTCTCTCCACAGCTCTTTATAAAAGTGACTTTACTTTACATTCCTGCGCAGAACAAACACTGAGCTCCTGATGCACCTCTGACGCTCAGACCAGGTCACAGGGACAGAGAGAGAGAGAGAGAGAGGTCACAGGGACAGAGAGAGAGAGAGAGAGGTCACAGGGACAGAGAGAGAGAGAGAGAGAGAGAGAGAGAGAGAGAGGTCAGGGACAGAGACAGGGACAGAGAGAGAGAGAGAGGTCACAGGGACAGAGAGAGAGAGAGAGGTCACAGGGACAGAGAGAGAGAGAGAGAGAGGTCACAGGGACAGAGAGAGAGAGGTCACAGAGAGAGAGAGAGAGGTCACAGGGACAGAGAGAGAGAGAGAGAGGTCACAGGGACAGAGAGAGAGAGAGAGAGGTCACAGGGACAGAGAGAGAGAGAGAGAGAGGTCACAGGGACAGAGAGAGAGAGAGAGAGAGAGAGAGAGAGAGGTCACAGGGACGAGAGAGAGAGAGGAGGACAGAGAGAGAGAGAGAGGTCACAGGGACGAGAGAGAGAGGTCACAGGGACAGAGAGAGAGAGAGAGGTCACACAGGAGAGAGAGAGAGAGAGGTCACAGGGACAGAGAGAGAGAGAGAGAGAGAGAGAGAGAGAGGTCACACAGGGACAGAGAGAGAGAGAGAGAGGTCACAGGGACAGAGAGAGAGAGAGAGAGGTCACAGGGACAGAGGAGGAGAGAGAGAGAGAGAGGTCACAGGGACAGAGAGAGAGAGAGAGAGAGAGAGAGAGGTCACAGGGACAGAGGTAGAGAGAGAGAGAGAGAGAGAGGTTCACAGGGACAGAGAGAGAGAGAGAGAGGTCACAGGGACAGAGAGAGAGAGAGAGAGGTCACAGGGACAGAGAGAGAGAGAGAGGTCACAGGGACGAGAGAGAGAGAGAGAGAGAGAGAGGTAGAGAGAGAGGTCACAGAGGACAGAGGGACGAGAGAGAGAGAGAGAGAGAGAGAGGTCACAGGGACAGAGAGAGAGAGAGAGGTCACAGGGACAGAGAGAGAGAGAGAGGTCACAGGGACAGAGAGAGAGAGAGAGAGGTCACAGGGACAGAGAGAGAGAGAGAGAGAGAGAGAGAGAGAGAGAGAGAGGTCACAGGGACAGAGAGAGAGAGAGAGGTCACAGGGACAGAGAGAGAGAGAGAGAGAGAGAGGTCACAGAGGGACAGAGAGAGAGAGAGAGAGAGGTCACAGGGACAGAGAGAGAGAGAGGAGGGACAGAGAGAGAGAGAGAGAGAGAGAGAGAGAGAGAGAGAGAGGTCACAGGGACAGAGAGAGAGAGAGAGGTCAGGGACAGAGGTCACAGGGACAGAGAGAGAGAGAGAGGTCGGGGACAGGGACAGAGAGAGAGGGGTGACACAGAGGTCACGGGGACAGAGGGACAGAGGTCACGGGGACAGAGAGAGGGTCAGAGGTCACGGGGACAGAGGGAGGTCTGTGCCAAACACAACTGTGCACCCTGGATCCAAATCTACAACTGCACTGCTCACATTAATTGATTAATTGTAATTATTACACACAATAATTACAAAAATGGCATAATTGAGAAAAACGATTATTTAGAATAACTCTGAAATGTGTTCCATGTGTATGCATAAACTTTTAACTTTTAACATTTCCAAGCAATAAACTTGATCTTTTTGTTCTCTTAACTCTAATGTAATGTTCAGCAGCTGCAAAATCTACTGAGTTGGACGTCTTTGCGTTCGAGGGCAGAAACATGTCGACGAGCAGGACATCTTGCCAAAAGTTGAATTTCCAAACTTTCTTTGTAACAGCGCAGCACTCACCTTTGGCAGCTTTTATCTGGTCAGGCTCCTGTCTTCAAAAATGGTGACTTCAATCTGAAACACTTGGGTTAAGGCCAATTCACAACAAACAAACCATTCGTTTAATTAGATGAGACAGTATCGATATCGTGGGCTACTGTATCAATATTTATTAAGAGTATTTTTGGGGTCTATGTTACTACATTATTTTGTGAAAGAGCTACAGTTGTGTTGTTTGTTTGGAGAAAGGAAACTAATTTACGCAATTATCAAAGTTCAAAAAAGTTTATAGTCAATTCTTAATACGAAACATATGAAGAATCAAAATTGTGTTTCTCACTCCCAAATATATAAATAAATGGAACATTTTCAACACATTTGACATTTTCACTGTTTTGATGAGTAAAATGGATGTTTTTGCACAAACTTAGTGCATGATTTAGTCTTAGCTTTTTACTGAACTGAATCGATTTTTTTAAATATGTTGTATCATAGTGTACTGAATAGAACAGACTTGGGCATTGTCCAGTTACCGGGTCACATACGGCCCTTTGGTTGACTCTGACCGGCCCGTTTAAGCTCATTTGGTAATACAAAATTAAAATATTTTATAATTTTACCTCATGCATGGACTAAAGCTGCATTACTTTTGTTTTAGAGGTGTTTTTAAATGACATTTTTTGTAAGACAACTTCACTTTTTCATTGCTTAGTCAAAACATAAACTCTTCCCAGTCTGAACATCTCGTCAAAACAATGACAGTTACTGCTTTTTATAAACAAATACAATTCATATTACTGTATTTTTCTGACCATAAGTCGCACTTTTTTTCATGGTTTGGGTGTTTCCTGCGACTTATACTCTTATGCTATACGACTTATATATTAAAATTTTCAGACAGACAGCCGCGAGAGGCTCTACGCTTGTGTATCAGTTTTCTGCGTAAGTCTCTGGCAGAAAAAGCCACTGTCCTCCAGTAGTAAAATATGCAGCAGAAAACGGTAATCGAGGAGCAGAAAGAAAGTCTGGAGTGAGCGAGAAACTTGTGAGGGACTGGCAGAAAGTGGGAATGAAGAGCATATCTTCACGGCGACCAGGCGGGTGCACCGTCCTGGAAGTCACTGGATTACAAAGCCTGGACTCCCGTGACAACCGAAGCTGCTCGGAGATGCTCAGATATGACACCGAGGCTGAAGAATTGAATGGATTTAGTGATTTGGAATGAGATGGAGAGTTTGGTAAACTTATGTTCTGTTGTTTATGTTACAATTATCTGAAGAACTGTTCATGGGCATGTCCCACCGGAAGGAGGCTTCGGGGAAGACCCAGGACATGCTGGAGGGACTATGTCTCTTGGCTGGCCTGTGAACGACTTGGGGTCCCCCTGGAGGAGCTGGAAGAAGTGTCTGGGGTGAAGGAAGTCTGGGAGTCCTTGCTTAAACTGCTGCCCCCGTGATCCGGCCCCGGATAAGCAGAAGAAAATGGATGGATGGAAGTGTGACTTATAATCCGGTGCGACTTATATATGTTTTTTTTCTTCTTCATTGCTCATTTTTTGGCTGGTGTGACTTATACTCCGGAGCGACTTATAGTCCAAAAAAATATGGTATGCAGAGTTGAGTTAAGCATTTTGGCCTCAGCAATATTTTCTGTTTCTCATGTGGCCCCATGGAAAAAATAATTGCCCACCCTGGAAACAGAAAGTATTGAAAAACATATTGTATCATGGCCTATGTATCAAAGAATGTATCATATCGGCAACTTCTTAATGACACCCAGCCCTAATGTTATGATTCATGTTATCATTAATGTCATCACTGGTTCTATAGCGCTGTCTCCCCATACTACTCCCCCATGTTAAACCCTCCCCCTCATTCAAATATGGGTCAAACACAGGACACATTTCCCTAAACATTTCCCAATAAACTCCATCTTGACCTTATAACAGCCCTGAATTTCATCATCACATTTTTACTGGCCAAAAGAAAAACTCATTAAAATTTAACATGAAGCTTTATTCCTAAGCCTATTCATTTCTCCATACATGCCAGCCGCTGTGGTCCTGACTACCGAGCTCAACTATTCTTCGGCGAGGGAGAGCTTTCACAGATCGCTATAAAGTCAAAATCAAAGCCCAGTGAGCGGAGACCAAAAACGCGGGTCTGTTAGCAATTTCAGTCATATTTGGTTGTTTCTAATGTCCTGCTGGAAGTGTGGTTGGATTAGCTGAGATGTTGAGTCAGCCCGCAAAAGTAGAGCTGTACGGGGGCGAGCCAGGAAGGGGCGGTCCTGCCGATTTTATGCACATGCTATGGATTACATAGGCACTTTTATCTGGGTTTTTTAACAAGGCAGCGTACGTCAATAAGAAGTGGATTTCCTGTAAATTCTGGGGTTGCGGGATTATTTCAAATCTATTCAAAATCAAACTGGCAAAGTCTGAAATTATTTAAGAAACAATTAAAAGGTCTGTTCCAAAATGTGCCCCCAATACATATGGGTCCGGTCAAGTGGTAACGGAGGGAAACGGGGCAGATTTTTGACATTCAAATGTCTCTTATTGAGAAACTAGAGGGACTATTGAAATAAGTAAAGTATCAGAATGTAGGAAAGAGTTACACTCCAACAGGGTCAAGTTAAACCTGTGATATTCTTTCAAGTTGTTGACAAAAAAATTAAAAACTCATGTCGGTAACGGAGGGAATGAAATATGCAGCACTTTTTGGGCAATAAATCCAAACAGTGATAACTCTTGGTTCTCACTTCCATATCCTTAACAAACTGGTTTGAATATTTGCTTCATATAGTTTTCTACCATATGGTACAAGATTAGGTTGAAAAACCTCTTACTTTTTGACTCATGAGATTTTTTATTAAGAAAGGTCATGGTAACGGAGGGAAAAGTAACGGAGGGAAAATGGTGCAAACAAGTAGAAGGTGCAGGATTTTACATCATTTGTCAACTTTTTTCTTCCAAATACTTTAATAATACTTCAAAATGAAAGGAAACTATTTCTATAAAATATGTCAGTCCTTCCAAGCTAATTTTTATCATTTTAAATACATTAAAATAAAAATCCTGTACCTTCATCAACAGTTCAAAGATGGAATAACACAAGATATGATGAAATACATCCATTTATTTACATGATTTGCAGGTTTTTGAAATTTGGGAAATAATTTTTGTTCCATGTTTCATACATGGTCTGTTTAAAACGTATGGAACTTTAGAACCAAAAACGGTACAGAAAAAAAGTTTCATAAACTAGAGTACATATGTATCTGTTCATTTTTATATCAGATGCATTAACTTGAATTTTTGGCCTTGCTGTTTACTTCTGCTTAACCGGGCCCATATATATTGTATAAGCTGCTTTTAAAGGATGTATCTTTTTGGTTTGTGGTCTGTCACCTGCTTGTTTCTATGGATACGTTATTGCTCTGCCTGGAATGTTCCACAGTGTAACATTAAACAGCTCAACTTTACATTTATTCAATTACAGGTGGTTTTACAGCTCAAAAATACTTCAAAAACAGGCATTCTAACTGTGAACGGTGTCGCCTCTCCACAGACCTGAACTGTAACTTGGCCTGGTTTGGTCTCCATGAAGATAGAAAAAAGGTTTAATGCCATACTGTGAAACATTCCAGACAAAAATAACACCTGCACGGAGAAAAGTATTTGACAGAACCTCCACCCGAAAAGTTACGCAATGCTTAAACGATTTAAAATAAGTCTGCTGTGTGATGTCTGCATCTAATTGTCCAATAATCAGGTGCACGTTAGCATGCTAGTTGCTTATTAACTCAATGTGGTGAATAATTAGGATGCTCTGAATGCATGCAAGGTAAATGAGGAACAACTTTGGACCAGTGCAAACAGCTTAAAATTATGTAGTTCTGTTTGTCATGTTTTTAAGACAGTAGAAATCAGGTACAGTACCTTTAATGACATAATATTTGACTATATATATCGTATTTTCCGAATTATAAATCACACTTTTTTCATGGTTTGGGTGTTTTCTGTGACTTATACTCCGGTGCAACTTATATATTAAAATGTTCACACTGAAGCGGTGAGAGGTTCTAGTCTTGTGTGTCAGTATCTGCTGCTCCTGTTCCTCCTGTACCACTGTCACTTCACTCTACTGCACATGTCTCCTGCAGAAAGAGCCTCTGTCCTGTCTGTATCATGTCACTCGATTGCACCATTACTTCTGTACCACTGAACAATTTAAAAATTTAAACAAATTGATAAAGACAATTGAGAAGACTGAACACAAATGCCCCCAAAAAGAAAATCTGATTTTGCAGATTACAAGCTGCAAGTACTGAAATGTTCAGTCGAAATATAATCGAGCAACAGAAAGAAAATTTGGAGTGAGAGAGAAACTTGTGACACCAGGAGGATGCACCATGAAACTTTCCTGAAGTCACTGGACGGATGGACAAAGCCTGAACTTTAATGACACTGAAACCATCCTGACAGGATTCCGAAACGTTGGAATAATTCTAACTGGAACTGATGCTGAGTCTGACGACAGCTACACAGAAGTGGAGGCGGCGCTCTGTTTATCTCCGGAGGTCACAGAGTTGCTCAGAAGTGACATCAAGGATGAAGAATTCAATGGATTTAGTGATTTGGAGTGAGATGGAGAGTTTGGTAAACTTGTTCTGTTCTGTTGTTTATGTTATAGTTATTCTGAAGAACTGTTCATATGTGACGTTAACAGTCTGTTGTTCTCTGTTCTGTTGTTATTATTATAACCTAAATAGTGCCACTTATAGTCCTGCACAACTTATATATGTTTTTTTTTCTTCATTACGCATTTTTTGGCTGGTGCGACTTATACTCTGAAGTGACTTACAGTCAGAAAAATACGGTATCTAAATATGTATCAAACCTACCAAATTTTTAATAAGGATACAACTCGGAGGCCTCTTTCGATGGGGTCGGTGAGCAGGAGACCGCGTGGGGCATAGATTTTGTCATTCTGCTCCTGGATGTACTTGGCGATCTTCTTTAAAACCTGAATCACATAAAAACAGGCATTAGTTATTCGAATCACATGATACTAAAGGTGCACTACGAAACTTTTTGTTTGAGGGTCTGTCACATGCTTTTTTCTATGGAGATGTCATTGCTCTGCCTGGAATGTTCCACAGTGTGACATTAAACTGTTCTACTTTGCATTTATTAAATTACAGGTGGTTTTATAGCTCAAAAATACCTAGAAAAACAGGCATTATGACTGATGACTGTGAGCGGGGTCACCTCTCCATCTAGCTTGTAACTTGGTCTGGTTTGGTTTCCATGAAGATAGAAAGGTTTAATAGCACATTGTGAAACATTCTAGACCAGGGGAGTCAAACTCAAATTCACAGAGGCCGAAATTAAAAACTGGGACTAAGTCGTGGGCCAAACTAAAGATTTATTGAAAATTTTCAACAACATCTGCATGTTTTCTCTTCTTTCAAGTTATGTAATATTAAACCTTTTCTTACTAAAATAAATGTTTATTAATAGTTTTGCTTAAATATTGAATCCAGAAAAAGCATAATATAAAATAATAACAAAACTTTAAATAAATAATTTCTCTACAGCCTATCTGTAGCCGGCGGGGAAATTCTAATACATATTTAAAATGATCTCGCGGGCCAAATATAATTATATTGTGGGCCAAATTTGGCCCCTGGGCCTGAGTTTGACATGCCTGTTCTAGACAATACAATAACATCTCCATGGAGAAAAGTATTAGACGGAGCCTTACACACTGCACCTTAAAAAGCATTACTTTCTCTATGATGCACTCACCTTTTCGTAGTGCGTCTCCATGCACAGAAACACGGTGTATGCGGTGAGACAGGCCAAACAGCCCTCGATAAACGACTGGCTCCCGAGCTTCTCTGCTTCAGCGTAAAGATTATTCAGTGTCCTCACCGTCTCCTCAAACTGCTGCTTATCGATCTGCACAACACAGAACACCTATTAGATATTAAAGACACAACCTTTATTTAGACTACTTTCTTATGCATGATAGAGGCTTTTAAACTACTCTGAGACCTTTTACATAGTGTACAATTGAACATAATGTGTGAGAAAACCTAGCCCTAGAGCAGTGGTTGATTAAAGAGGGGGTATTTTACTTCTATGGGGTGTTAACTGCTAACATATGACATATTTAGATCGCCATGTTACCTTTTACTGTCACTTATTGTTATTGTTTTATTGTCACTTTAAGTCACTCCCCCTTCAGAGGGCTATCACAACTCAGTCAGTGTGCATCCTGCTAATGAAACTACTGCAGTGTATAGGCGAGTTTCATTGTTGACAAAAGCGCACGTGGCATCCTGGGAATTATTTTGGTCGGCGGCAAGAAACACTAATTCAACATGACGGACGGAGCGAGAAAGCACATAAAGGGTATTGATCCCGGTTATTTCTCCACTCTAACGGCAGAGGACCCAAGATGATTTGACCAGAAATTGGTCATAAACATCGATGGACGACAAATCACCCTTTTCAACCCCGACAAAAGGTGGACCAAAAGAAATTTCTGGTCAGATTCGCCAACTACCTGGACAAATATTCACTTCGGCGATATCCACAATGACTTGGTGGAAACTCCTGGGCCATTCACAGCAGAAAAGATGAAAACCTCCAAGAGTCTCGATGTGTTGTTGAACTTGTTGGAGTCCATGGTTTGTTTGGATCTTCTACGTTTGCTCTGCGAATGTTTGAAAGCCATTTGATTCACCGTTAGCGGTTCTTTTCACTCAGAATACGAAAAAGACATTTTCCTTCTTCCGTGCTTCTATTTGTGCATCCGATAATGCAGCAGGAATTTACCATTATCGGGGATAAATACGCGAGGTTACGCACTGTGTTTGACCGCTATCCTGTTTTCTTGCCTACTCAAACATGCATGGATGGCATCTAAATCCTCTTCAGGCATGTTTTTGATGAGAGAACCATGCTATAACATCGTAGAAAAGTCCAAAAAGTTATTACACCCTCTGTAAAATTACCATTTTTAATTAATGCACCAACAAGTACCAGCTTAGAAATGATTGTACCTGTCTGTCCCATCTAGGGTTGCAACATATTTAAAAAAAAAACAGTAGTAGTATTACATTTGTATTTTATATACTGGAGTAAAATATATTTCCCTGATCTAGAGTAAATGAGAATTGGATGGTAACAGGCCCTTTCATAGTACAACAATACTTTTACTACACCATATGACGGACATCTTGTGAGCATCTCCTCTTCCTGAAAACATTCCTAAAGACGAGGAAATTTGTCATCTTTGAACTGCCTTTGAACTCTGATTGTACCAATTGTGAGAACAGATTTTTGGCCGTCTCACCCTGAGCTATGTGAAATCAGGGCAGATGTTTGGTGGACGTGAGCTGGATTGAGAAACTGCACTGAGCCAGGAATTTGACTTTGTTTTCCGGGCAATGACCAAAATGCCCACACAAATGTATCACTGAATATTGTTTATTGTAATTCAGAACACGGTCAGTGAATTCCAGTGGCAAACTGCCATGCGTTAATACCATGGATCTGTAATAAAACCTGGATAAGCCCCTCCCCCTCTGTCCCGGCTTGAGACCGACTAGTGGCAAATCACTGTTCAATACAAGTATTATACACAAGTAAATAAATACGTTTTTATTTATATAGTGGTTTTCACAGACATTTGTCACAAAGACACTTTACAGTTCATTATTCATTCATTCCAAACATGGTGACGGTAAACTACTATTGTAGCCACAGCTGCCCTGGGGCAGACTGACTGAAGTGAAGCTGCCAATCTGCACCATCGGTCTCTCTAACCACCACCATCAGTCACGCACAAACCACTTTTATACTAGGCAATGTGGGTGAAGTGCCTTGTCTAAGGACACAACAACAGTTTTGACTGGCTCCCCCTGTGGCCACCTGATGTTCCCAATGGTCTCCCATCCAAGTACTAACCAGGCCTGGTGTGGTATAGGATTTTGACCCCATGGTGAGGTGACCCGGGGTTAACATACCAAAGAGTATTTTGACCCCGGGGTCAGAATCCTATTGTGGTATGTTGACCCCCCCAATAGAAAATTGACCCCCCTCTGAAAATCTAAATTTTATTAATAAAGAACCTGAATTCTATAGAAAAACTCTGAATATTAATACAATATCTGCAAATTAAAACATATTGACATATTTAAAAGTGTTTTCTGAAGAACTCAGATGCATTTTTTATGTTGATTATAACTTTTGAATGTTAAAAATGACTTAGTTGTTTAAACACATTTTACTGAAAATGAGATAAGTAGTTATTCATTAGTTAGGTAATCAGAGTGATGTATAATTATTTGGAATCTTAGTAAAATAGACAGGGCTGATCAATTGAGTAGTTAAATAGGGGATATCTATGACAATAGTACCTCACAATATCTTTATTATTGTTATTATGATGTAACGTGAGAAGTCATGTTAGTTGAATATTGACAATGATCAATTACATATATAAAGGAGGTCAAAATCCTATGACTATAGCAATCTGACACCCCAGTATGTTTATTATAACACAACATGACTAAATTCAAGGTCATTATCCTTACAAACCATTGCCTAAATTGATATTATGATTAAGGATCATCTGAACATAGCAAACTAAGGGTGTTTTCACACCGACAGTATTTGGTGCGCACCAAACGGTCCATTCGAACCAAAAGTTGGTTTGGTGTGAAAGCGTCAATCGGACTCGGACCCGAACCAAATCAAGCGAACCGAGACGCAAAAAAGAGTTCGCTTGAATCCGCACCAAATGACCAACTTTGGTGGACCCGCAAACCATAGACATATGGACGCTGTACGACTCCAGCGTCCAGCGCAGTAACAGATTGTTGTCCAGATGCAGCCGCGATTCATTTTCGAATTATTTTACCAACAATGGCCAATACAGAGAATGTAACACACGAAGATCAGAGCAAGTACGTGCGAACGTGTGGCTCCAGAGTGAGTCAAAATTGGGGGTGCGCACCCCTGTTAGGGACCTACACGCACAGAGAAGTCCCGGTGTTCCCCGTGATCACGCAGCAACCAACATTTGTTATTTTAGGCTTTAATTAACCAAATAATTTCATGGCAATAGGCAATCGCCCATTCAATTGATACAACTTAAAAAAGTCCCTGTTTTTAGCCTAGTGTGAGAAATACAGTCGGACTAGATCCAAACCAGAGTCCTGAACCAGCGGGGCAGCTCCAGTTCAGTCCGGGCTCAGAGGAGCTGGAGCGGGGAGCCTCGACCTGAGGAAGCGCTTTCCCCGGGAAGAACCAAATGTGCGGAGGACGGACGCTCAGAACAACATATAACAAACCAAACTGGACTCACGCTTCTGTCCGGATGCTGCACCACCTCGGAACCAGCCGCGGTTCTTGAGCGCGGAGGACAGGAGCAGCGCCCGGACCTGTAGTCCACAGCGCATTCTTGCTTTTCCCGCACGGAAACAGCGCGCAGACGACGGAACGTACCCGCTCGGACTCAGTCCATCAAGCACTGGTCTTGCTCGCCACCGTTTGGAACCAGCACATGGAGGACAGAGCCTCCGGACCATCTGACCAACGCGCTTGTAACAGAAGACCAAGGACCAGACCCCAGCCCCGTCCTGAGGAGCTGCGCGCTACTTTGAGCACTGTTGGCTGCTGCTGTTACCCAAACTCTGGGCTGATGCGGTGAGTTTGTACAAAGTTCTACATGTTGCTGTTTTATAAGTTCATGGTGATAATTTGAGATGAGGACGGCCCACGGTATTAACAGGAACATCGGTGTTGATAACTGGAGTATCGCTGTTTTACCGAGGAAACAGAGACACGTGATTCGAACCAGTTTTGGTTCGTTTGCCGGTGTGAACGCGGACCACACTGGAGTGTATTTGCTACATAATAACAATTTTATTGCCTGGTGCGGACCAAATAATCGAACTAGCGGTGTGAAAACGACCTAAAAATCATAACAATGTAAAATACAATATAAAAAGTGACAAGATTGTTATGTATATGCAATTTTAACAATACGTTACATTTACACAAAATACCAAGTCGTTCTACATCAAAACATTCCTTAAAATACCTTAAAAGAAAATGAACATGTAGTAATATATAATAAAAGTCAATTAAATGAGAAATAATGATCAGATAAGTAACTACTAAAGAAAAAAATAAGGGGAGTCCAAATTTTATGGGGGGGTCACTTTACTATAGCAGTATGTTTACCCCGGGGTCAGTATACTATGGGGGTCAAAATACTATCTCTCAGTACTTAAAGACACGCATTATGCAGTTTTAACGTGTTCAGTGCTTATGTAAATTCTTTCAACATTTGTGTTTCTTGCATTGCTCCTTCAGATATGACTGTCAAATTGTTGTTGTCCGTCCTTTGAAAATAACAGTTTTAGTGCTTTATTTAACATCTTCAAATTTGAAATCATGTTATGTTCAGACAGACAGTTACTCTTAGTAGTTTCCGGACATACTGTTTTACTCTTACTTGAGTACTTTCTTGATTTGATTAAAGGGCGTGTACTTGATTTCAAACCATGAGTCAGGAACATGTTTTAGTTTGAACTTTTAGCCCCGCGCCCTTACTGTTTGGGATAGTCTCATGCAGTTGTTTACTTATACTTCTCCAATCTCTGCTTCTATTTGCTTTTTTGTCAAACTTGAAAACACGCCATGGCAGAGAACCGAGTGTCTGGGATCACGTCAGGCAGTTGCTTTCCCATGTTTCTTAAAGAGGGGGTGTTTTACTTCTATGGGGTATTAACTGCTAACACATAACATATTTAGATCACCATGTTTCCTTTTCTTGTTTTGGGAACACTGCATTCGCCAAAAACAATGTATTAACATGTTTGTATAAGTTCCCCTCTCTTTTGCTCTCCGTGTTAAGTCACTCCCCCTTCACAGCGCTATCA